GTCGAAATCAATTTCTGATTCACTTTCCTCAACGCCGCTCTCAGAATTGTCGGTACGACAATCTGATTCGGAGTCGTTTATGAGTTGAAATATGTCAGCGTCTTCCAAACGAGACGTCGCCATGGTGGGGGCTGACAACTTCATTGAATACTAGGTTTGAAAGTTATGACACTGTTTGGCTGTGGCATAAAGACGGTAGCCTTGAGAGTTCTGATAATAAACTAACCGAGCAGGGTCAGAACAGAGAACTTGTTTTCTTATAAACGAAGAGATACAACACGCTCACATCTCTGCATACCGAAAGAAGGTACGTGTATAAGCTTCGAGACATGCAAGACTAAACATGTCTACATAATCATCTGCTGTGTTGCTACATCTACATACAGCATTCTTAGTTCCAAGAACTGTACGAATTCTTGTAGACAGACGACAAATTTGGGAATTTTATATTTGGAATCAGTCTAAAAAGTTTTACACATTTTATAAAGTCTGTAAATTACAATATCTGATTCTATATTATTTCTAGAAAAAAACAGCGTTTATTTGGTTCGTTTATCACAAAAATTGTAGAAATCACAGCAATTTTAGGAAATGATTACAGTTTTTATTGCTTTAAAATTGCGGGTATTTAAATCAAATCCATCCCACTGCCATTACCGGAATTTAAAGGGCCATCACTTAAAGGTTAAATCACCGGTCCGTGAAGTGTTAAAATAGACTTACACATACTAAATGGTCATTTCTGACTAACTCTGGATCCATGGAATGTAATATTACGTGTCTGAGTGGCTACAGATGGGATTTGGATTGGTAATTGGATTTATTGAACTCTTACAGAATGTAAATACAAATAATTATAGTGCTAATGCTAATTCACACTCTTTGAAATTCACTACAGCACATACAGTCTTCTCTGTCTGCTTTGTCTTCACTGGTTGTCACTTGGTAATGGCTTTCAGTGCTGTAGCCTCCTCATCATCGATGTTCATGTTCTGTCTCACAACTCACTCATTGCTCCAACTGACTAACTCCCAGGCTGGCAGCCACCATATACCAACCTCCTACTCTTCTCATTGCCATCGCAAGACTCTCTTTTAATCACAGCTGCTCGCCATGTAGCCTCACCATGGACCACACAGAAAACACCTCTCCCAATAGTTCTTCTATTGTTGCTTAGTAACAGGTGTGTTTGCAGAGCCATTCCCTAGCAATGGCTGTCTCAGCTGGCTTCACAGTTCTTTCCTTAGGCAAATATGCCACAGTATATAAGCATCACTCGGCTAATTAACACCAAAGCAGTTGTTTCAGAATACATAGAGACTACGAGGTGTGGAAAACAGGACTGTAGCTTAATTCATCAAAGTCCAAGACCTTACCTAATATTTCATAATACTCTGGCTTTTGAAAAAGAGGGATTTTGTCTTGTTCAATCCCCAAGCTGAAAAGCAATCCATTACTGGCTCTCCAAGACTGTTTATCCAATTTTCAGCTAACCTCCATACATGGGTGCCATGCCTTCCATCTGCAACCTGAGGCTGTGTCATGCCATGATGACAAGAGATCCACTTAACATGGAAGTTTCATTAAAACACAATAAAATTCAGCAATAACAACCGCATAACACATCTGTGTCTCTGAAAAGTTTTTAAATTACATTTTACATGCAAAATAGGACTGTTGTACCTGCAATGTACTTTACTTCCAAATAAATGTGATGCTCCTGATTCTTTCATACAGAAATATTCTCACCTGTGGGTTGGCCCTGTGTATGGTGGGGGATGGGGGCGATAATATGTATTGCATTCCACAGACATCCTGCAAAGAGATTTCTTGCAATAGAATAGTATTAATATGTAATGCACCACATTACATCAATCCTGGAATAAGTCTGCCTTCAAAATTATGATTCACTTTCATAGGAACTTCTGTTTGCCTCAACTCTCATGACCTATGCTGAATCAAATCTGACACTTGCATAAATTTCTTTCCAATGTTAGACCAAATGGTAAAAGTGCTTACTCTAATATAAAGAGAAGGAATCACCTTTGAAACTCACATATCCCTTGTTCTGGAAGACTGAACTTTTCCCATGAGGATGTTGGAGTTGTTTACCATCAACAATTATTATTTTGAAGAAAGCAGTCTTCTGGGATTTTGCCCAGAAGACTGCTTTCTTCATAGTCACCGCCGTGAAAGCCTCAAATCTTACAATTATTATTTTTTTCAAAAGGTCAGGTTCTTCCAACAATTTTACTGATATGTCTGAACCAATTTNCACAGAACAGACAATGATGTAGTCAAGTACCAAGCACAAATTTTGCCAATTCCTGCACAAATATGAGGAAGGTTATTCACATGTCCAACCTAGCATGTTTCCCTCTAATGCCAAGTACACATTATTAATTACACCCTGTAGTCATACATACCTTGGAGTACTTGTTTGAGGCAAGGAGCTGCTGGGACTGGCAGTTCGTGAACGAGATACTGTAGTAGAACACTGATCAGAAGGTGGATTTGGAACCTGCCTCTGGCTAGACAGAGATCTAAGAGTGTTGGTTGCTCGATGCACGGCTGTGTACTGCACCATCTGAACTGCTGGTGTTTCCTTGTTGCGTTTACTTCTGTAGAGACAGCGTACCTTGTTTACAGACTCAACAGTGATTGTGTTCCTGGCACATTAGTAATCAGAAAACATAATGATACATTTTTAAAATTCCAAACAATTATTTTAGTTTATCTCTGTAGAAGCATACTGTAACCGAATTAGAATCTGCATTCATTATTTAATTTGCTGCAGAATACTGATCTTTGCATACACCTATTGTTCACTTATATCTTGGCAGATATCATTAGCAGTTGTGGTGGGGACTGCTTGGATAAGAGCCATATGGAAGACTAGAAAATAGAAATAGAATGGATAACATCAGGATGGAAGTTAGCAATGTAAGTTGTGAGGATCAGATATATATGGCATTGGTTCAGAATTGTGTCCAGTGGTGGACTTCCTGTAAGTAGATTGTTGTGAAATTGAATTACAGTTGTATAATTACAAGCAGAGAAATTCTGACATGGTGGACCTTATGACATTTGTGTAACGATTCCTCCCCTGATCTGCTGCTTGTGGCAGACAAGAATATTGAATATCCGTCCCATTTATCATAAGATTCTCATTTTCTTTTGTAACTTTATACAATTTTAAAGGTTATTTCATGACTTTCAATACACATTATCTTTTACATTAAACAACTTCCGATGTACCCATTTGGAATAGGTACATTAAATTCTACATTATTATACAGAATGTAGCAATAAATCCTACCTTTGTCCAGTGCTTATAATTATATAGCATTAAATCACAGACCAGTGAAAATTAAATTTAAAGTCATAATAATGATGAATGACTGATGACTATTCTTCCAGCACAAGCAAATAAGTACAGGAAAAACAAAATAAAACTATGATAAACCAATAAACCAATCAATCAACTCCTCAGAGCAAAGTCCTTCTTGATAAACTGAGAGTGAAGCAGCTGGTCAGGCAATTCTCCACCCTTTACGAGACCCAAACAATCATTAGTGTTCATACCACTGGACCCCCACCTAAAACCAGTTGAAACCATGAAGAAAGCAGTTTTCTGGGATATGGCACCATGTAGATGTTGTGTTCACTGACGTTTCGGAGGAACATATTGCCTCTATCTTCAGGGTAGAAGAAAAAGAAGAAAATCCGCAAGTGAAGAACCTGTGTGAGCAGGTGCAAATAGACTAATGTTGAGAACAAACCCACCTGTATAGTAGCAGGAAGAGAAGGGAGAGGGGCTACATGGGAAATCAGTAGAGAGGAGAGGGGAAGGCTTGCTATGGTTGTCGGGCATGGACTTGCGTGGCCTTGTGGATCTAGCATCATGTCCTGGAGGTTTCTTGAGGGAACAGATGAGAGGCTTCCACGACTTGCTGAGACAAAACCCCACCTCTCTGTTCATATTGTCGGGATGGAGTTTAATCTCAATGGCCTCCCTAATGATGCAATTCAAATAACGGGTCTTGGTGGCTAGGATGGAGGTATTCTGAAGCTGAATGCAGTGTCCTAAATTGATGCTGTGTTCAGCCACAGATGACTTGTCTGGATGTTTGAGATGGATGAGCCACTGACGCTACTCCAAACCTCGAGACCACGGAACGGACCATCTGCCCAATATATACGTTGCCGCACTCACATGGGATACTGTATCTACCCAGTTTCCTTAGTCTCAGGCTATCTCTGACTCACCAGAGGAAACTAGATAATTTATTTGGAGGCAGGCCCACTAATTTGATGTTGAGCCATGACAGCATTCTGCTGATTTGGTTGAATATAGTCCCAACATAGGGCAGGAAGGCGACTGAGCCCGGTTAATCATTGGGCTGACTGATGTTTGGACAGTTGAGAACTCTGCGGATCTGCCAGTTGTGACCGTTCTGCCTGAAAACATCCCCAAGGAGCACCAACTCCGCATGTAGGCTGTCTTGACCGCATAGAGCTATAGCCTTGTGCACCAATATGGAAAGTACAGCTAGCTTGTTGGATGGGTGGTAGTGGGACGCAGCATTAAGGTAGAGGTTTGTATGGGTGATTTGCAGTACACTCTATGGCCCAGAGAACCGCTGGGTCTCCTGTAAATATCTATATCCAGGAAGGGGAGGTGGCAGTCAATTTCAGTCTCCATTGTGAACTGAATACATTGGTGGATACTATTTAGTTGGTTCAGGAAGTCCTTAAACTTGTCAGGCCCGTGTGGCCAGAACACGAAGGTGTCGTCCACGTGGCGAAACCAGCAGCGGGGCTTGTGTGGGGACAAGTCAAGTGTCTTCTCCTCGAAGTCCTCCATATATAAGTTTGCGATGACCGGAGACAGTGGTGAGCCCATTCCCACACCATCAGTTTGTTCACAGAACTGGCCATTGAAGCTGAAGTATGAGGTGGTCAGGACCTGGCAGAAGAGTCTCAAGATACCTTTTTCGAAATGTCATCCTAGCAGATCCATAGTATCCTTTATAGGCACCCTGGCAAAGAGCGACACTACATCGAAACTGGCCATTTTGTCATGAGGATCGACTTGGAGAGAACCCAGGGCATGGACTTTTTTACCCTGAAGATGGAGGAAATACGTTCCTCCAACACGTCGGTTAACACAACATATTCCAGAAGACTGCTTTCTTCATAGTCACCGCCGTGAAAACCTCAACTCTTACACAGATGAAACCATTTCACTTCCTCATGTTCTATTTCCTTAAGATCCATCCTAATTCTCATTACCGACAATGCTACTCTACAGACTATATCTCATGGAATTTCTTCCTTCCTAAGATCATGCCAAAGCTGTCCAAATGTGAGGTCTACTGTGACACTTTGTAACATCCTACTTTTCTTATAGTACAGGGCTGTAGAACCCTGATCCACCCCACAAGCTGGAGGACCCCTGCTTGCAGGCTGACCATCATTGCTTATTTCAAATATCTGGAGCTACCTTCTACATCTTCAGGTCAGCTACTCTATGCACTACCTAAGGACACTTCATGCTGCAGGGAGATGAGATACAAATACTACAGACAATAAACATACAGTGTGACAAATGTTCTAAATGTGTAGCTGAGTAAACCAGCATACTCACATTCCTTCATGATGGAAGCACAATATGAGTGAAAGAATCAGTACCAGTATTATCATCACCAGCATTGGTATCATAATTGTGTAAACAAACTCGCTCACATAACTTCGTTGTGGCACCTGAGACTTTGATGGACGTATCCAGAAATCTTCTTGACCAAGACTTAATGGTCGATGATCAGCCGGTGATTCTAAATCTGGTCCAGCTGGAAAATGCTGATGCAAAGATGACGAACTTGCCTCAACCTGAATACGAATTCAAAAGTATGCAAAACTGTAGGCACCAGTCAACCACATTTTAGCAGCAGCACACATTAAACTGCATAGTTTCTTAATAGCTGTAACATCTAATTTATGTAGCAAACACTGTTCAAACTTTCTGAACTCATCTTGTGATACTCCCCTGTGCCAGTGCTCAGAAAGTCAAAGCAACCTTGTCTCTTCAAAGTTGTCCTTTTTATTTCTTCCTGCATAGTGGATATCTAACTAACTATGTAATTACTAATTAACACTGCAGTAGCAGAGCAGTTTTAAATGCTAATTACCTGACTACATAGCAAACATCATTGTATTTGGTGCCCCTGAGTTCAGCGGTCTTGAGAGAGTACGCTGCCCTTGTTGGCAACGTCTTGAAGCAGCAGTCATCAAGATGGTAACCTCGACAGAACAGTGTGTGCTATTGGCATTAATTCTGATTGAAATTTGAGTGAAGGAAAGCACCAAGCAGGTCTGTAATGCACATATCAGGTAATACTCGTAAGTGTGGAACAACTGGAGTGTGATGAACAATAAGAAGGGTGCTGCTGGTCAGTGTCACTGAAGAACCCTAGCCAAACCTGAGCTCAATTTCTGATGCAGGATGCAAATGGTCATACAGGCTGATGGCATATATGTGGAAAACGTGTCAGACGTCAACTACAGTGATATTTACTATGTAGTTAGGTACTTATATGTAACTGAAACTGAAGCATCTTCATGAAAAGACCCTGTATTTAATCTGAGTTTGCATTCCACTTTTTGCCATTGATGTGCAATGTCAGTTAATATTCTCTAGTCTTTTCTTTACTGTGATAATAAAGAGAAGACGATAAAAGAATATTAACCGATGTTGCACACAGATGGCAAAAAGTGGGATGCAAAGTCAGTTCTAAACACGACGCTGTAATTTAATATCCTATACTTCATACACTTACAATGTTTGCTGTATTCCAAAACTCTGGAAAATTTTGTACAATTTACATAATAAAGGATGTTTTAATTTTATTTATTTTTTTAATTAGAATGTGTATTATATTCCAGAGGAGACAGGTGCAGGCATATTACATGCAGCAAAACAAGGCACATATAACTGCAAACATCCTTACGAGTCTGAAAGCACACCAATCAAGAACAAAGCCTTCATCTCGGAAGAGTCGTTCTACAGTTGTTCGTTTGAAATCCCGTGGACATGAACCCCGCTTCCACAGTGGTTTCACTTCATCCTGCAGTTTCACAAGTGCAACAGAAAACTGTGCTCTGCTGCCAATTCTCAAAACAACACTGTCAACAGAAATATTGAGAGAAATTAACTTTTAAAGCAGAGTCACTATAAAGAATTTAATTTTTTATTATAACAGAAGTTATATAATATTGTTCTGATCTTTTTCACTGACTAATCTCTCCAGCATGTCACAGTAGATATGCTCTTGAATGAAACAAGGAACACTTCCTACTATTTATGTTATGTTTCATGAATCGTACTGAGAGGTGTTTGTAATTTACCAAATAAAAATAATATTGTATTTAAGCATTCTGTTGCATTACTATATCTAATACTAAAGTGAAGGGGACATTCGGTAGCGCAGTTGGTTGAGGGGCTATGCTACAAGCCAGAAGGTCATGGGTTCAAGACCCAATGGGGTCATTGAATTTTTTTCAGTTGACCTAATCCTTCCAGCCGCACTTTGCCCTGGGGTTTACTCAGCCTCTAACAGAAATTAGTACCAGGAATTAATTAAATAATTTTCCTGGGGAGTAGAGCGTGGCCGGCTTCATCAAACTTAAAAGTTTTGATAAAATAGCTTTTGTTACAGCTCCAATAGTGATGTAAATATTCACAGTTCAGTTTGCTAGTAACACTAACCCTTCTCCTTCATTTGGCCGAAGTGGATGTCTAGCTCCAAGGTGCACAGCTGATGCCAAAAATGTGACATAAAGATCACTTTCACTTTCACGCCACAGCTCACAACGAAATACATCCAACAGCCGGTTTAGACGATAGGAGTCAAACATATCCTCCACATTCAAATTATCAATCTTCATCTGCACTTCATGTTTTGCTGGATCTACAAAAAGAACACTAGATCTGACTGACTGCATGACAGGTCAATTTAAATTATTCTGGTGGGAGGGTCATAGACAGAACCAGGTGACCTAGAACTTGTGGCAAATACATTTCTTACATATTTTCAGGCTCACTGTATGTCAAAGAGCAGTCACCTTCATACAAGAATACTTATCATTTAAGCAATCAATTCTTAGAAGACAACCTTCAGTTCGGTATTTACTGTTATTAAGTAAAACGGGTTATAATGTAACACGTCTATTTTTTAGTCAACCTTATCTTATAATATGTCCTATATATATATATAGCTTGAAACAAAATTCAAGTACAACCCTTGCACAGCGTGATTCCTTGTTAAAAGAAAATAGCTGAATATACTGAATAGTACATGTCCTATCATGTTTAGTTTTCAAGTCACACAACACCACCAAATGGTGCAAGCTATCAAATGATCAAACTCTGGGCACTTCACAGTTATAACAGGTGTTCAAAACTGCCTCCACCTTCTTCAAGGCAGACGGCAGTGCACTGCAATGACCTGCTCTTGAAAACACATTACTTTAGCATATTGGATCAACTGTTGTCATAGTCACTCCATAGCTCAAGTGATTAGCTGCTGGCTTCCTTGCCTATACCCGATGCTCCTCTTTGCTTCACATTAAGGTCAGAAAATAACATAATGAGAAAAAATATATAATTTCCTTACCTGGTTTCTCTTGAACATTCATATGAACCACTCTCCGACGTGTTTCATAGTTCTTTCGATTTAGTCCAACAATCTCCAGCTGAAAATTAAGAAAAAATATCATAAAAACTCTTGAACATTTTATTTTTCGTATGTATTCACATCATAGTTTACATACATTTGTAACAATAAATATACTCATCAATACTCCATTTAGTTCTACACTTTGATAATTACAGCATTTAAGTTTCAGAAGATTTTTAAATGATTTTCATTATATTATTTGTCAGACTGACAAGATATAGAAACAGGCATACCATCACTGTCACTCACTCACTCATGGGGATGAGCCTATCACAAGAAGCCGCCAATTGTGCAGCTACTCAAGAAGTTCCCTACATTTGATAGAACCCAAAGGTTCATTACCGTGTTCACAAGAGCCCTCCACTGGTCCCTGTCCTCAGCCAGATCAATCCAATCCATACCATCCTATCCTATCGCTCTAAGATCATTTTAATATTGCTCACCCACCTACATCTTGGTCTTCCCAGTGGTCTCTTTCCTTCTGGCTTTCCAACCAATATTGTATATGCATTCCTCTTCTCCCCTATTTGTGCTACACGCACTGCCCATCTCATCCTCCTTGACTTGATCATTCTAATTATACTTGGCTGAGTACCATTTACAATTGTTTAAACAGTATTTCTCTCTTTCAAGCTTCAAAATCTTGAAATTTATATCAGAATCATTTCCTTACTCTGATATGGGTATGACTTGACTTGTCCTATATCATGTACAATGATCTACTAGAGTGACGAAATCAATCACTCAATCAATCGCCTAAGAATAATAATTTAATGTGTAACTCTTGACATGCCCTTGTGATACAAGAAGTAATATGACAAACTGAATGTTTCATAAGGTAACAGAGGTTTGTGATTATATTTGATGGGCAGAGCAGGTGTTCACAGAATTGAGTAATATTGGAAGAAATTTATATGTGAATATGCTATTGGCCTGTTGGCTATGCCACATGTATAAATGTGCCAAGTGCGAGAAGTATCCCTTTTGCCATATGGATTTTGGTAGACTTTTATACTGCATATGACTACGACAATCAAATATAACATGATACACTAACCTCTACATCATCATGTTGCTGAGGAGGAACTCCATACAAAAAGCCTGTCTGATGTCTGTCACTGTATACATAGTGAATCCAAGGAGGGAGATCTGGTGCATTTAACAGTGAAGGCCGATAAGAAAACTGATCTGTTGCGCCTATAAATGAAAAAAAAAAAAAAATTAATTTTGCTTTCTAATGCTTTTCTGTCGGTTATCAGTACTAGATGATTACATAGCATCAAACAGTAGAATGATGAGTGAAAGATGAATGTAAAGAATTCAGAAGGAAGCTGTCATAGCCTGATCATGATACTACCATGGAATTTGCCTGGTTGGATTGAGGAAAACATCAATCAGGACAGCCAGTATCCTGGCAAAGTTGAGAACAAAGCACCTCCTAAATATACTGCTATGCCAGTCTATTTGCTGCTTGATGAAAGCAGTCTTCTGGGATTTGGCACCGTGTATATGTGGTGTTAACCGACGTTTCGGAGGAACGTATCGCCCCCATCTTCAGGGTAGAAGAAAAAGTATAAGAAATCTGCAAGCGACAACACCGTGAGAAACGGTACGTTCCTCCGAAACGTCGGTTAACACCACATATACACAGTGCCAAATCCCAGAAGACTGCTTTCTTCATAGTCACCGCCGTGAAAACCTCAAATCTTACATATTTGCTGCTTGTTTCTGAAACATATTTCTCTACATATTGGTGCAGTGTTTTTCAGTATCAGTATTCTGCACTCTTACACAATTATCATAAAACAAACAGCTATACCTAGTAAATTCATAATACTTTATACAGGTTTACATATGTTGCATGCAAAATTTAGCCCATACCTTGTAAGGTCCAATTGAACATTCCAGGTTCAATTGGCAGTATAAAAACCTTTGTCATGTGTATATTTTCAGCTATTCCACTAATCCAGCAACCCACAAACACGATAAGGAAACACAGCATCCTGTAAGAGTTATTATTATATTACAACTTGCATGGTGAATTTTAATATGCTATTATCTGTGTTTATTGGCATAATGAATTAATTTTATCACCTCAAAAACTGCGTCCGAAACAACCACAAATTGAATATTACAGAAATCACAAAAATATGTTTTAAGTGTAAAAACTGCAAATAAACGGCATCGGTGGTTTACCAGGTACGTTTACGATATCTGGAATTTTCTTTCTTATTACACTAATATTAAACATATCGGAAACATGTCTTTAAGATACTGTAACAACAACCATTATTAACTAATCTCCTTCCAAGCTCGCCAGCTATAATATTATACATTACGGCCCACTGGGCCCACTCCCTATTCTCAAAGACAACTCCAAGCCTTCACGACCGTTCACGACGTCCGTGACGTCCGTGACTCCGTGACTATGTGTGCGCGAGTTGCACTTACATATCCCTGCTCACTACGGCTAGCGGGCGGAGAGAGTGATCATTAATTGACCGCACCGGAGTTAGACCAACTCATGCCAATTGTCATGTTTATAACAGACATATGGATTTTTTAATAATGCTGGTGTGTTCCATGGGAAGTTGTCACAACCTGCGCTTTACCGAGTTGACGAAGTACCAGTAACGTATACATACATGAACCAACTGAATGACCTGAATTACCCACTCTACTAATCCCTACTCCCCAAGTCGTACCACTGTGTCAATGGAACTCTGGCGCTCTCTATGAAAACGAAGGCGGATTTTTGAGAGTAAGGTATAGGTCCTTAGAAGGTAAAGTAAATGAGTTTAAATCACTGGGGGTGAAATATCATGCTGACGAGCAAACCATGAACGGTGATTATTGGCAAGCACGCAGCTAACGAATGTATATTATATTTCTTCAGTAGCAATTAAAAGGTGATGATATGAAGTAACACGGTATGCTGTGTAGTTTATAATAGAAGGCTAGCGATGTTTTAGAGGAAGATGCTTCCTTCTTCTGCAGGTTAGAACTCATACCTTCAAGATGAAGACATCACCTTCTTCCGAAATATGTCATTCCAGACGATCGTAATCTTGCTATCGCATTGAAAACAAAATGTCACAGCAGGAGAATTGTGCTACTAAACAATTGTAGCATTTTGCATCACACTCTCATATCTGTACAGAGTCCTATATTTTGTGATTTTAATGCGTATGTTTAAGCCGCCACTGTCGCTCCATGTTTATCTGTCACTGCCCCTGAGGTGTGAGATAGCCATGAAAAGCTGCATGTTGTCACATCCCCAGTCTTTGTACTTTGGTCTTCATCTCCGACTCCTATTTAGTGAAAACTGCAGTTTAGTATAAGAAAAGTTGTACCCATCAAAGTTAAATTAAATATTTATGTCACTGTATGATGACTAGTGTCCTGTTTGGTTTCTGTATGAAAGTAAATATCAGAAAAGAGTATACAGAACTATTAGGCTCATTTTGGACTTCATCCATTGTCCGGTATATAAAAGACAAAAACCCACAACGTTTTAGAGACTGGATCTGTCTCCGTCCTTAGGTGGAAGGGTCAGGATAAGCCTACTCCGTTGTGCCTGTTAGAAAGAGCTAGTATCAATCACTGGTCCAGTGCCCCATCCACCTGAGGACGGAGACAGATCCAGTCTCTCAAACATTGTAGTTTTTTGTCTTTTATATACCAGATGATGGATAGAGTCCAAAATAAGCCTAATAGTTCTGTACAGCATACACCATTGTCAGAAGCCTTTCCAAGTCTAGAAAAGAGGATATGACAACTTTCAGTGATAGGATTTGAGATTCTCACCAAAGTGGTGTGTATTGCTGTGTAGTTCACTGAAAATCACCTGACATTTGGATGATCATGTCACCATCTTCAGGGTTGAAGAATGGGCAAAATGAGAAACCAACATGGAGTACGTGCCAAGCAAAAGCTTTTGTTACTGTATATATGTTTTTTAGTATACATGTCAGACACAACAATCAGTAAACATAATTCACTTTCACTCTATTCAACCGAGTTCTTATTGGATTAGAATATAATCTCACATGTTTTGGCTCATGGAGCCATCATCAGGCAATACCGTCATCAGATCTGATATTACTGAATTGTAATTCATATATGGATCCATGTATCACAAGTATCTAGTGTGTCTATAAAATAAAAATAAAATATAAAACATTCCATAATCCCCTTATATGCACAGATTTAGAATTATGCTTCTATACTCGCAGCTTAATTACATTTAAAATATATTTAAAATACCTTATTTTACACCGAGTGTTACATCCCAAAAGATATTACTCTTAAACTTCAGTGATGTTGGTAGGTACTTGTCAGTATATCCCCCAATATAAATTTGTTTTTAGAAAGAGAACTGACTAGGTTGTTACTGTTAAATTCTCAGACCCACTATAGTGTAATTTTTAACCTTTTTTATTTATGTCTTAAGGAATGAAAGTACACTTGTAAGAAAACCAGGCTGCATGTAGATTCTGCCCTTTGAACTTTTGAACCAGGTGACTTAGTTTGATGAACTTATTATGCCACTGGAGGCTGCTCAGTTGTCATAAGCTTTAATTTTCTACACTCAGTAATAATGGTCAGTTTCACATCGTGGCTGCTTTATCCCCAGGGAAAGATCCCCCAAAATACACTGGATATGCTGAATTCTGTGGATAAGAGAAAAATCTTTTCCCTAGCTGGGAATTGACCTTATTCCTCAGTCATCCAGCCCATAGTACATTGCTGTACTGACAACTGTTCTGGCTCCACTGTTGAAGCATGTGAAGTCTGGCATGAAGATAGATCTTAAACATAACTGCACATTGTGTCTGAAAGTTCTTCTTAAACCCTGAAAGATAAAACAACAATAGTAACTGGTCTGTAGGACTAGAAATCTATGAGACATGAAAGCAGGCTTATGAGTTCTGTTCAGAGCTGTTTTTCTCTGTTTCACTTACTATTTACATACATGTATTTTCAGTCCTTTAACTCCATTAATCATTGAAAGGTGTATGACAAGGAATAAGACATTCGTTTTCATTTATCATACAGGAGATATGACTGAAGGTGCATCGAGCAATGATGAGAGTGTCGAACTCAAAGAGCCAGGACTCCTAATGTGAGTAGTGTAACTAATTATTTAACAAGGCTGACAGTATCTTGGACTGTGTAATGGAAAATAGGAGGATGGTTAGTGAATAATGGGCTCGAAAGGATGTGAAATGAAGCAATGATTGTTAATTTGAGGTATTCTTCAAATATTTCCCTGGATGGACTGTAGAAAACCATGTGAAACTTCAGGATTAGTTGGTGTTCTGTGAAAATTTGAACTAGGCACCTCCCAGATACAAAAAGAAAGTTCTGTTGCTTGAACCAGCTTGCTCAGTATGAGGATCTTGTGATATATGTCTCATTGCTCCAGGCAAATTCTGACTACAAAGGCCACATTCTTCTGTGAAGTTCCTATCATCCTACCATTAGGTGCTCTGTAATATGTGCAGTTAATAAAACCGCTGAACAGAGTTCTTTAAAGATTAAAAATATGTTAAATAATTACATTAGAAAATAGAGTTAACCCCCATTTAAGGTTTATTTGGGGAGCAGTTGGTTTAAAAACTGAACTGAAGAATGTCTTAAATGGAGGAGGATATTTAATGCCAAGTTTATTAATACACCTTTATTACATAACATATTTTTGCCTATTTGGCAATCATCAGGCTACTTATGTAGAATACTGTATAGCTTCTACACTGCTCAAACCTTGTTGCTCAAGGTCATGTCCATTATGAAATTCTGGTGTTCATAGTATTTTCAATTTATGTTTTGAAAGTTGGCACTAAACTTTTCCGGCAAGCGGCAGTCGCTCGGTCAGTATAGTTCGCTTCCGGACTAAATTCACAGAGTGTTTAATCATTGATGGACTCTTGGATTATTAATTAGTTAGCTCTTATCAAGATTCACATGTAACCTCCATTTCAAACACAAGACAAAGCTTCACGGTGTGTGGAAGTAACAACAAACGTACTACTACGAACATAGAGCTCCAGAGTTTGTAAATATCACGCAGTTAATTTTAAATAAATAGGCGGAATCTTAAATTAATACACTTATATTTCCTGACGTATGAAGAAATATCTAAATCTTAAAAATATAAAGAAAAGTTTCGTCACAAAACTGCCCTCTAAAGTAACAAAGAGTTGTAATCAAAACATTCATTTGTATTACTCAGGCATCGTAGAACAAAAATAAATTGCATTTAGTTAAATCTACAGACAAAACGAATCAGCGTTTGAGTGCCGTAGCTTAAAATGCAAGATTAAAACTAGGTAAAGTAAATCAAACTACAGGACTATTTTCAGAGTGTTGGGAAATTGGAAGCAGAAAATTTGCTCACAGAGTTTAAGATCATTCATACAGATCGCCATTTATATCCCATATAGACACCCGATTTGTATGACAATTCTAATTTTTGGTATTAGCACATATAATTTCGGAAGGATGTGTTACAAACAATTGTAACTGATATTACTGTAAAGGTAGAAGGCAAAATTGTCTCTGTGCTTAACTAAGTAAGCACTACGCCATGAAGGCGTATGGGGGAGTGGATGTACAGATCCACATTTTCTTCACCTCGACATTTATCATATTATTCAGCTATGTAGGCGTGACGAATTGCACAGACGCGTAGTTACAGCAGACTAGCGAGAAGATACCGAGGAACACAACTTGCGCCACTTATGGTGATTATGAGCATACACACACACACACACACACACACACACATATGTGTCTATGTATATTGTGAAACACACGAGAGTTCTAACGTTACACTGAAATCCTGAACTCAGCAATGAAAAACGGCAGCTCACAAACTGGCTTTTCTGGTCCCTCTTTCTATAGTTCTGGGAACGATTGCAGCCCGGGGCAGAGGTTCCATCTCGTTGTATTATATCATTGTTAAATACGGTCTCATCCTGACCAAAAACGTTCAACTGAATTCAGGAAATTCTGACGGAAAGGTTGCAATTTAAGACAGCTGAAACGAGGAATGGAGAAAATTACATAACGAGAAATCCAAGTTGATACATCTGCCCATTATAGCAGTTTCTGATTCGTGAACCACATGATTATTATTGCGTACTTATTCATATGATTCCTATCATACAGCCTACTGAAATTTCAGCGTGGAACCGCTAAAAACAAAAATACCGAACATCAAAATTCGGAAACTTGGAAATACAGCGAAGTACCTGCGCTTTATTAGTTAATGAGTATGCCGTTAAGGCAGCTGATCACATTCGCCGCGCGGTGTAAGTATGAACTTCCTTCTGTCGCTCGAACACTCAGATCATGGGTTCGAACCCCACTGAAGGCATGGATGTCTGCGAATGTGTTTATTCTATGTTTGTGTGTGGGTAGCAGCCTTGCGGCAGGCTGATCTCTCATCCAAAGCGTCCTACCGTTTGTGTAAAAATGATTACGAAACTGAAGAAGAGGCCAAAGGGCTGTAGAGCCATTGATGAGTGAAAAATGAAAAATTCAATTAAGGCATATGTGAGGAATGGAGGCAGAGCTTCACTATTCTTGACCTTGACACTAGATGGAGATGAGTGGCGAGTTTCACACCCTGGCCGCTTTACCCCACGGAAAAATAGGTCCCGCTATACGTTGAATTGGAGGCTGGGTGGGGCCCAGAGCCGGTCCGGACGATGTGAAATAATAGAAAAACTTTTTCTCCTGCCAGGAATCGAATCTGGGCCGTCCAGCCCATCGTTGTACCAACTGAGCAATTCAAGCTCCTAGCGAGGTTTCTATTAAAACACTAAACCTGGTAAAACAATATCTACTAACCTATAAACTATTTAAGAAATTACTTTCATCATAGGTGGACACCATCATACCGACAAACGACATCTTCTAGTTCTGTCATCTTCTGCTTCTCTTTGTAACTACCTGCTACCCGCCTAACAGGAGAACGAAAGAACAAGCCTTGGCCTCCATGGCCTGTTACAGGGATAGCTTTACTTTTTTATCTATGTCTATGTATTCCCAGTGGTCTCTTTCCTTCTGGCTTTCCCACCAATATCCTATATTCATTCCTCTTTGCCCCCATTCGTGCTACATGCCCTACCCATCTCATCCTTCTTGACTTGATCGTTGTAATTACAGTTGGCGATGCTCCTAATTTGTCCCCCCCACAACATCTGATATTCCTCTTCAGTACCAAGTTAAATTGAGATATGTCATGTAATTGTTCTATTTATTTACAGCTTATCGGTCTGTGTTCTCAGTCTGTATAACGTCGACGTATTAGATGATAGTGAATAAAGCATGGAAGCAGACGTGGAAGGGTCGTGTCCTAATTTATTTCAGGCCTGAGATAGCGATAAACAGTATCAAAACCTAAGTGATGATAGTCAGTATGTCAGTATCGTGGCCAATTGGAATATGTGGGTTGAGAGACGCGTTAGAGTCTACTGTTGTGAGTGCATGGATAACCATCAGAGTAGATTACCATGAACCGCGTCTGTGGTCTAGTGGTCAGAGGTCCCGGGATCGATTACCCTCAGCGTCTCACAACCCTATGGGTAAGATTTGAGGCTTTCACGGCGGTGACTATGAAGAAAGAAGTCTTCTGGGATTACACCACATATACACGGTGCCAAATCCCAGAAGACTGCTTTCTTCAACCCTATGGGTTTTCACGGCCTGTTACAGGGACAGCTTTACTTTTACTTTACTGAAGTCTGCTAGAAAACATAAAATATATGTCATATTTTAAGGTTATAAAGTAATAAGTAAATTATAAAACACGGTAACATAGCAAGAAGTATGCTATGACGGAAAATAATATAACATTGTAATATCTGCTTGAAGTAAAGTAGGTGCGTGTGTCAGATATGGCCAATTATGAAACACGCTAAAAGAAGTACAGGTTAACGGGGGTTGGATGTGTGTTGTGTTGATGTCAGTTAATAACATCTTATTCTGAACTCTGCAATGAGCAAATTCTCCACAAATAAGAATGTAAAAAATTGTAACTATTGTAATTTTAATCTACTTATATATCAAATTGTTAATATTCAGAATTAACTTGACTTGTCATATATCATGTACAATGATCTACAGTGACGAAATAAATCAATCAATCAATCAATATACAACTGTATAATATATGAAATGCTCTAAAAAGATACTAATAATTGTTTTATTACTCTTTGACTAATGAGGGTGGAGACGATACTAATTATCATGATTTTGAGTGTGAACGACCTTTAGTATGAGGGTTGAAGGTACCATGAAATCGACTCTCGAGTCATGAAATGCTGACTGATGCTGACCATGCTGGCACTCCAGTTTTCATCAATAATAGTAGTGAAATAAGTGAAGTAACGAGTGCTTCTTGTGATAAATTTAAACTATAACTACAAAAGACCTTAACAGAACTCAGGTCAGCACAAAAAATTATTGAACTGCTAGAAGAAGAGATGAACTTGAACACTCCCAATCTGACCGTAAGTACAGACGCATGTTACTTGCATTATAACGAGAATTCACCATAATTGGAACTTAAAAAAGGGAACTGGGTTCATGCGTTGATTTATTTATTTATTTCATATCATATCCATGGATCATTGTACATGATATAGGACAAGTCAAATACTTTACAATACAATACGTAATAATAATAATAGTAATAATAATAATAATAATAATAATACAATATATAACACAATGATATAATAGTATACAAAGATAATAAAATTATGATTCGAATGATATATATCCTGGGTGGTTATGGTTATGGAGAGTTTGATGGAATGAAGATTGGCAGGGGAAACCGAAGTACTCGGAGAAAACCTGCCCCAGTGCCACTTTGTCCATCACAAATCCCACTGGACCAGACCGCCTCGGTGGGAAGCCAGCGACTAACCGCTTAAGCTGTGGCACGGCCTTAGAGATAATATTGTCTGGTATGTTGCTTCACTGTAGTTTATGGTCCTGGTCTCTGTAGTGCTGGTGAAGCTTCTTGAAGTCTGCATATCTCCAGAGTAGCCTGTTCCGGTAAATCTCCACTGTGTTAGCTTGGTTGCTGGAAAAGGGAAAAGAAAACTGCGCAGTAGCGATTCCAAAACCAATTATTCATTACTTATGTGATTATAATTGATTAGAGCTAGTGCTTGCCCCATACAAGAGAAACTCATCCACTTTGTAGAAGCAATGATTAAGTAGGTAAGTTTTCAAAGCACTTCTGAACTTGAATAGTACTGGTATCTCTTTAATATGTAGTGGTAAATGATTTAGCAGTCGAATTCCTACATTGTTAAAGTTGTTCTTGTATAGACTTGTATTACATGGGACGATGTGTAAGTCGTCTTTTTTCCTTGTATTGTATGAGTGTAATCCTGAGTTGGTTGTGAAATCATTTAAATTGGATTTTATGTATATTAAAATTTCGTATATATACAAAGATGGTAAAGGTAATATATGTAATGATTTGAAAATTTGTTTACAACTAGTTGTTTTTGGGACCTGGGTCATAGCTCTTATAGCTCTCTTTTGTAATTTAAATATCAATTTTGCTTTTACTGAGTTACCCCAAAATATCAGTCCATATGATAGCAAAGATTGGAAATAAGCAAAATATAACGTGCGGACAGTCTCTAATCCAGTCACTCTTCTGACTACTCTTAGGCCAAAACATATTTTACATAAATTGTTTGCTAACTTTTGCGTATGTATAGTCCATCTCAGATGCTTATCTAGCCAGACTCCCAGAAATTTTGAGTGATCTGTGTAATTGATGACAGTGTCATAAATCTTTATTGAAGGGCATTCGAGTTGTAGTTTTTGAGGATGATGAAAGGCTATTGCTATTGTTTTTTCTTTGTTAATAGTTAATTGATTCCACTCAAACCACTCTGTGAGTTTGTTTATTGTTTCATTTGTTTTCCTTTGAATTTCGTTGGCGCTATTTCCTGTTATAAAAATGCTAGTATCATCAGCAAAGAACGTTGGTTTCCCATGCTCTATGACAGCCTCTAGGTCATTTATGTATAATAGAAACAACACTGGTCCCAGAACAGAACCTTGTGGGACGCCATGGCTAATGGGTCTCTTTCGGGATAGGTAATTACTGATTCGATTAGTTTGTTTACATCTGTATGTAATTTCTACTTCTTGCTCCCTGTTTTTTAAATATGTTTGGAACCACCTTAGTGTAACCCCTCGTATTCCCATTCTTGCCATTTTTCTTAGTAATATGTCATGGTCTACTAGGTCAAACGCTTTTGATAAATCTAAAAATAACCCTATACTTGCTTCTTTTTCATCTAGTGCTTTGTAGACCATTTTTGTAAATTCCGTGATTGCTGTATGTGTTGATTTCCCTTTACAGAATCCGTGTTGTTTGTTGTTAATTATGCTATACTTATTTATGAATGATAGAAGTCTCCTGTGCATAATTTTTTCAATTATTTTAGAAAAAACAGAAATTAATGATACTGGCCTGTAGTTATCAACAGTAGCAGTACAACCTTTTTTATACAAAGGTTTCACTTTTGCTATTTTTAGTTGGTCAGGGAAGTAACCAGATGAAAATGACAGATTTATTATGTATGTTAGAGCATTTGCTAGTTGAGAATGACATTTTTTAATAATGAACTCTGGAATATCGTCTATGCCCGTTGACTTTTTATTACCCAGTGTTTTAATTATGTCTACCACCTCCTTTTCAGTGGTTGGGATTAAGAACATGCTATTGCTGTTGTATTTTATTGTATTTATCCTGTCTACATTATTTTGTGCTATCGGATTGTTACTCCGGATATGCTGGGCAATGTTAGTGTAGTAATCATTAAAAACATTGGCTATTTCTTTGGGATCCTGTATAGCTGTTCCAGTCACTTCTATTTCAATGTTCTTTGGAACTTTTTGCTGATTGCCTAATTCTTCTTTGATTAAATCCCACATGGCTTTTGATTTATTCCCAGATGATCGTATTCGCATGTTGTTGTGTAACTTTTTAGCCTCGCTGATAACTTTGTTGTATATTTTTTTGTACTGGCTATAGTATTTTTTAAGTTCTTCAGATGTGTTTCCTTCCTTCATTAGGCTATGAAGAGTCCTAAGTCTATTTCCTGATACCCGTATGCCTAAGGTAATCCATTTATTTTCTTGCTGCTTAATTTTTACCCATTTTTTAGGCATAGCTATATTGTGACAGTACTGAAAGATGCCTAAAAATTCATTGTATGCAACATTCGCCTCATTTTGCTTAAAAACAAGCTCCCAAGTCTCTTTTCCTAGTAAATAATTTAGATATTGTACGTTTTCCTCACTGTAAAGTCTAGCTAATTTGAACTCCTTAGTTATTCTACCTTGTCCTTTTTTATTCTTATAGTGCATATATACTTGTAGTATTTGGGCATTATGATCAGAGAGCCCTGTTTCTGCCACTTTATAGTTGTATTCCCATAAGCCCCTGTTTAGTATTATTTGGTCTATGGCTGTTTGGCTTGTAGGTCCTATTCTTGTTGGGACATCAACTATTGCTTGTAAGCCATATGAGTCCAGCATTGTCTGCAATTGTGGATTTACACTTTTTTTTATAAAATCTACATTGAGATCTCCTACAATAATAATATTCTTCCCTTTGTTGGTTAGACTGTTAAGTATTTTGTCCAGATTTTTTATAAATATGTTGATGTTACTGTTAGGAGTTCTATATATACAGATTATGATAGTATTAAATTGTATAAGTTCAATTATGCTGGCCTCAAAGTGCTCTTCTTGATTTAAGCTTTCAAATAGGTTACAAGGTTTTGCATCTAGGTTTGTTTTGACATAAATGCATGAACCTCCATGCAATTTATTTTTCCTACAAAATTTTGAAATCAAGGAGTAGTTTTCAAAGTTATAATAACCTATTTCTCTTTCATCTAACCAATGTTCAGTGATACAAAGTATATCTGATTCTAGCATTTTGTTTGTTAATAGCACTTCTATATTTAGTTTCTTGTTTCTTAGACTTTGAACATTTTGATGTATTATTTGTATGTTTGCACTCATTTTGTTAGTATTCTTGAGAGTACCAGTACTATTCTTATTATTATGCTTATCTATAAAAAATCTTTACTTAGCTTTACTGGGAGCTTCCTTTTCCTGGTTGACATTCGGATTTCCTGCTGCTGGTCTCCACTGGATGACACCACTCTGTTGAGGGATGGATCGACTGGAGTTGCCTTATCTTCCTTCGCCTGGTTTTCTGCAGTTTCACCCTCTACTTCAGTCACCTGGATTTCTGTAACCTCGTCCTCCGTTGCAGTCCCTTGAATTTCTGCAGTCTCGTCCTCTGTTGCAGTCGCCTGAATTTCCGCTGTCTCTTCCTCTGTTTCATTCAGTTGAGTTTTTGTAGTCTTTTTCTGGACAGTGTTTCCTTCATAGTTTAGTGGAATGGCTTCAACATGGATTCTAGATTCTGACGGTGTAGTTCTGTTGACTCTTTCCCCCACTTTCAGTTTAACTAATTTGGCTATCTGCTGACACATCTTTACTTTCCCTTCTTTGTTCATGTGCAGCCCATGTTTTGTGAAGTGTTGCCTGCCAAGATCCATACTGCAGATTGCTGCATGCTGATATGATTTCATTCTTTTGGCTAGAAGTCTATTGAATCGTATCACCTCTCTGTTGACACAAGACCAATCAGCCAGGTCATGTCTGTGTGGTGCTTCCATAATCAATATGTTGGTATGACTGGTCCTTTCTATAAAGTTGATTACGTTGTTTATTCCTTCCTTTGCTCTATCTTTGCCGATGTCATTGGTACCAGCCCACACTACTACAATGTCATTCTTTGTCATCCTTTTGTCAATATTGGTATTTAATATGTCACTTGATCTGGCACCTGGTTTCACAATTCCTATGACCCCGAACTCTTTACTTAATTCGTTCATTATAAGGTCTGCACTTCTTTTCGCATGGCTGTCCCCAAGTATCAGGACGCTGTGCTTCTTGGATTTTACCATATTGCATGTATTATTTGATTGTTGATTTTTGTGCTTTTGCTCCGATTTCTTGCGATTTCTCATACTAGGGACTCCGTTAACTACTGTTGCTATTGGTCTGCCTTTGTACTTCGTGAGAGGTTGTAGGTTAGGTTGGCTATGTTCTTGAAGATTATTTAACACTGCATAGCGATTTGCTGTGTGAACACAGTAGTCAGTAATAGGTGGTAAATTAACTCTCTCCTTAGTCGCCTGACTTATTCTCACTTGCCTCCAATCATCAGTATCACATTCATCGCACTCCTTACAGTGGATATAGTTACCACTGGATTCTTGTTCCGATGTTGAGCTAACTTCTTTTTGTAGTAACTCTATGATAAACTGAGCAGTTTTAAGATCCTCTTGCACTCTTTGAAGTTCCCTTTTTAGTTTTATACAACTTAAACAAGAAGTTCCACTACTATGAACTACATTATCTGAATGTACATGAATCTGAGCTGCAACATCTGGCTAACCTGACTTAGGTTTTTCATGGTTTTTCACAGTACCTCCAGGCAAATGTTAGCTGGACTTGGTATTCCTAGCCAGGTGGCGACCACAAAGACTTTTGAATACATTATTTTCTAATTAGCTATTTGATATATATGGTTTCCGCTACGAACTGTGCTGTGAAATCATGAAAAGAAATGTGGTGCAGGAGCAGTTTTGAATGTTATTAATAATCAGAAACAACTTTCAGCGCCAGAAGAGGTACTGTCCAACATCAAGATTGAGCCCGATGACAGTGAACTGGAGTTACAGATAACCCTCAAGAAAGCACGGAGACTGAAGCTGCAGGAGGCTGTTACAGAGTCAAAGAACAGTGTAGAAAAGGTACATCACATGGGCAGATTTCCTTTTTAATCCTCTCAAATGTTTGGCTGTAGTAGGTGACATTTATTTTGATCAGTCAAGGCCATCTTCCCCTCACCTGCCTGAGACAAGAGAGGAACAGCCCTAAGGATAGGTGGTGGGAGATGATGAAATTGTCCCTAGCTACAGAATCCTGTGCCATGTTTAGTTCCTACACAGTGTCTCCATATGTTCAGTTATAAGATGTTGCACAGAACTTTGTAGTAAAGTTCATTATGATGTTTCCTCCTTGGTTACTTTACAAAACCTTTGTACTGTGGAGAAACTGTGTTCTAATTTAACCTGAGGGCTATTAAATTGTTTCTCTCACAGACTGTTGTTGTGGGCCTCAAACCAGTAAATCATATCGCCACATTTAAGTCATCAAAATCCTTTCACACTATGCTATGAACCAGAAGGTTGCCAGTTCAATTCACAGTGAGGTAATTGGATTTTTAAATTGACCGAATCCTTCCAGCTGTACTATGGGTGGATTCGGCCTCTAACAGAAATGAGTACCAGGGATTGTCCTGGTAGTAAAGGGCGACAGGAGTGTAAGGTTGACAACCTCACTGTGAGCCGATTGCCGAGAAAATGTGGAAGCCTCAACGTTTCACAGCTCTATGGGCCTCCACTGCCTGTTGCAGGGATAGCTTTATCTTTCTTTATGCTATCATCCTTTCTTGTATTTTAGTTATTGCGACCTGTTAATGGCCTCCTGTCAAATAGATACCAGGGGCATTTTCTCCAGGTGTGGGAGGGCATGGAGCTGGCCACTCACCTCCAGTTAGTGTATAACTAATTAAGCATAGGGACAGATTTTCATTTGTGGGTACTAAAAAACAGAATGCTATATAGGTACATAATTTAATAATAACTTTAATGTTGTCTCTCTTTCTAATTTCAGATACCTGTCTCATAAATTTCATGGAAAGGGACCTGGCAGAAATAAAGCAGAGAAACGAATAAAGAAGAATGAGCAGGAAGGAGTGAGTATCAGTCAAGACCTAGTCATGAGCTGTTATTTGTAACTAGTACTATATTGTAGCACCCTGGTGCACTTCATTTAGTAGCAGATGGTTTCACAGTCTCACCTGCAGCACATCCTTCTGTATAACTTACTAAAAGTTATTCACTACACATTTTGAACTATAGGGTCATCATTAGGTACTTTAAAGTTATAAATTATAAATGAGGAAACTGTTGTGCTTCCATATTGTGGTTGTTGGTCGTTACTGTGTGGTACCTTCTATGCCAGTGTTTCTCAACCTTTATGAGACCGCAGCCCAGTAAGTTATTTTTTTTTATAAGATGAGGGCCCAGTCCCAACAAATTTACTCGTAAATACCTTTCCAGTTTTGTTAAAGTTCATGCATTAAGCTAATGTAATATTAGTAATTAATTATAGCATAATCATAAAGAGTACTAGTACACTTATGTATACGGTGTGGCATGTTGACAAACATAAAATTACATTTAAATTAGTTATCAATCACTGGACTAATGAAATCTTGTAGCATTTTGTAGTTTCCTCAGACCAACATCATTAAATTAATTTGTGCTAATTTTCATTGACATATCCCATGCTGATCACCAAAACTTATGTTATTCAGCGTAAGATTGATTATTGTATTATTAAATTGATTTTAATGATCTTGGTTTGAAAAAATGGCAGTGAGAAAAATATTTATGCATTGTAACTCACCATAGAAGTCAGCTGAGTAGGGGAAGAAGCAGAAGGATGTGAACTTGCTGGCGAAACACTTATTACCACATACACACGCCAAATAATTATATATGTAAAGTATGTAATTTGATAAATAAAAATGTATGAATCTCTTAATTCTAAACACTACCTCCAACACTAATTAATATTTTGATTTTAAAGATGCAGCACTTTAACACAGTAATTATAAGTTATTGGAAAGTTAAACTTAGTTTCTTTTACAGATGAGACACCAGTCGACGTGCTGACTGCTGAAGTGCTGATCTTGGACATGGAACCTGATGTAGGTGTAGGAGTTGCAGGGGCCCTCCATCTGGCAGTCAGGATTATCTGGAGCACAAGCTTCACATTTTGCTCATCTCCAAGCTCAGAACTACTCCACTTTGGATAAGACACACATGTATGAGCTTGCAGGAAAGAAAGAGTGAATGCTACAGCAGTGGCGTGCATGCAGACACACATACAAAAATGAGAATTCCTGATAGGATTTACCGTTCATTTGCTCTGTGTTTGCCCTGTCACTGTTGCATCCTGAGTCAGTCTAAGCTTATTTGCTTCACTCATGATATATTTCAGCATCCCGCTGTATTGAGCCATCATCTTATTTTTTACTAATGTATCCATCAATAATACAACTTTAAAAAGACATTAGGAATATGTTGTTCACTAAAAATGCATTGTCATACTATGATAGTTCATATCAATAAAATGCCCATAGGCCTTTACGTAGTACATAAATTTACACATTAAAAGTGAATGTTCACACTCCTTAAATTGTCTTGGTTTTACATGTATTTTTATTAATTTATGTTCACAACATGTTTCGGCCTCATTGGGCCATCATCAGGTAAATTCTATCCTTGAGTGAGATCACTGCACTGTATTTGTTATGAACATAAATTAGTAAAAATACATGTAAAACCAAGACACTTTGAGGAGTGTGAACATTCACTTTTAATGTGTAAATTTATGTACTACGTAAAGGCCTACAGGCATTTTATTGATTTGAACTGTCTTAGTATTAAAATGCATTTTTAGTGAACAACATATTCCTAACATATTTTTAAGTTGTATTATTGATGGGTATGTTAGTAAAAAATAGGATTATTTGCTTCACATTTTCATGGGAAAATTGTATTGTAGTTGGTTTACCTGTTTGTTCTGTCTCACTTAACTTGAAGGTGGGCACGGTGTTGTACTTATCCTACTGTTATTTCTGTTGGTCGTACTTTGAACCACTGCCTGGTGTGTAGGACAGATTGTATGAAGTTTAGTTCGGATCTGATGCATGGATGTAGGTGGAAGATAAAGGTAAATAATTTCTTCCTCTCAAAACAGATAATTTAGATAGAGGTTTATATTGTCTTGAAATGTCAAGGCAGTGAGGTCGGAGTGATTTGGCCTACAAGGAACTGCCATTTTCATGGAGCCACATCCCTGCCAGTGTTACCATTGTCTTGAGATTATTTGTTGCATTGTCTGGTGAGAGGAAGTGAGAATCACAGATTCAGAATAGAGGTTATAGAGAGAATGGTCATGAGGGGGGCTTTGTCACTGCACTGCACTCATGAGCAGACAAGTAATTGTCTGGCATCTAGAGAGGTGCCTGATAGTGGGTAACTCAGCTCTTCCTTCTGTAAGATCTGAGCTGTGGGGACAGATGTTCTCAGTGCTCTGGTGTGTACCTTCTGTTAGCTTCTTATTGCACAGAAGCTGGAGGGAGTACAGCATAGCAGCATATGCAGGTTTATTGTGTCCACTTGTTCCCTATTAAGTCATCCAGTAGCTGTCAGATCTTCTCCGCAGCAGACCTTAGGGAAGAGAGTTGCCATGGGCACAAGGATGAACCACCTTCTTCTATTATGGAATAGAGTTGGAGATTTTGAAGCTTAAAGAATATCTGAGTTTTGAATAGTTTGTCATCTGCTCTATAACTAAGTCTTGTGTCATCTCTCAGGATTGAGCCATTCAAGTATTATGGAGGTGTACACGATGGTCAGAACAAGACAAAGTAAGCAAGCTCATCTACTGTTGAGGCCAAGACTAATTAAGGAATTTAATATATAGCATTGCTTTATCTTTTTCAGAGATGATGAAAAGTTCGCATGTCGCAAGCGCTACAGTGGTCTGACCTCAGACTTCAAAGAGGAGGAGGGCTACAAACCAGATGTTAAACTTGACTACACATATGCTGATGGACATGTACTCAATGCAAAGGAGGCTTTCAGGTTAGCACAGCTAACAGTATATCTGTTTTTAAGTTAGGTTGCACTGTGGAGGGTAGCCTGTCCAATGGTAGTACATGGTAGGCAGCTTTTCAGTGGAAACAGGCAAGACTATGGGACCATAGTGTTTATCATCCATGTATGCCATCCTGTGCACCAACTGATGGATTTATGTGAAACTCTGCATTATCATTGTGCCACTCACCATGTTCTTTCAGTTGTCTACCATCAGCCATATTAACATGGCGACTGAGTTGCGAGCAACACTAGAGCCACTTAGAGTAGGTCCTTAAGAAAGGGGTCCTGGGGTAAGCTGTTATACCCATTCAGAAGGTTCTGAGTTCGAGCCTCACTCACACGTGTACAGATTTTTCTGCTCACAGATGATGCCTTCACATCTACCAGAGCTAAAATTTTGGGAATACAAAGGATTACCCCGCCCCACATGGGTTACAGCCCATATTAAATTGTAGGGTCCCTCTGCTGACTAGCACTATCATGATTACCCTATCATGGGGGGTGAGATTATTGTCTTCCACCTCAGATGCTTTCAGTAGAACGCTTTGTTGTATATATGTGTTGTTCTGACTTCATTTTCTCCCATTCTATGTATCTCAGTTTGTAACTAGCCGACATATTGTGACATTTGAATGTGTAAATACTTTGTTGTGTAGGCATAGAATGTGGCAGAATTGTTCATTTTGCAGCTAGGTGGCATGAATTAAGAAGAAACATGCCTCAAAATTATTGCTGTTCCATTGTAAGTAAAAAAAGTAAAGCAATCCCTGTACCAGGCCGTGAAGGCCCATAAGGTTGTGAGACGTTGAGGGCCCCAAATTATCTAGACAATCGGCTCAAAGATGGCAGTAAGGATGTCAGCAATACATGCCGGCCGCACTTTACTCCCCAGGAAAATTATTTCATTAATTCCTGGTACTCATTTCTGTTAGAGGCTGAGTCAACCCCAGGGCCATAATGCGGCTGGAAGGATTAGGTCAATTGGAAAAAAATCCAAAGACCTCATCGGGACTTGAATCCACGACCTTCCAGCTTGTAGCATAGCCCCTCAACCAACTATGCTATCGCATGCCCCTACTGTTCCATTGTACTTTTATTAAAATATTTTGCATTTCATTCCCTATGACTTTAATGGGCTGTAGCATGCCCATTTCTGGTTGTTGGCCATATGAGTTAGTTGTGATGGAAAAGGGAACGTTAACATATTTTTATCATTTCACAAAATAACAGATTGAACTATATATGGATGTTACCCCTATTTTCTGCCTGAAAATTTATAATGAAAGGATGTTACATGGAACTTGGAAACGTGGTCTAATTCTGTAAGATCCTAAAATACAGTGACTTTAATGTTGTCTCTCTTTCTAATTTCAGATACCGGTCTCATGAATTTCATGGAAAGGGACCTAGCAAAAATAAAGTGGAGAAATGAATGAAGAAAACTGAACAGGAAGGAGTGAGTATCAGTCCAGATCTGGTCATGAGCTGTTATTTGTAACTAGTACTATATTGTAGCACCCTGCTGCACTTCATTTAGTAGCAGATGGTTTCACAGTCTCACGTGCAGCACATCCTTCTATAAAACTTAGTAAAAGTTATTCACTTTAAAAGTTTTACATGTCAAATAGATATTAACTTATTAAAATGGTTGTAATACCTGCATGTATGGATTGTTGAATGATAATAAAAAAAAAGTTATCCACTACATGTTGGGACCTATAAGGTCATCATCAGGTGTTTTAAAATTTTAAATTATAAATGAGGAAACTGCTATGCTTCCATATCGTGGTTTTAGGTCATTCCTTAGCGGTCCCTTCTAGGTGAATTTTTATACAAAGTGGCAGGTTGTTCTGCATGCTGTGTTATACAGCGCAAGAGGAATATGCATTGTCTGCCATTCATTGAAATGAACAGCCAGTTCTAATTACAAAAAATGTATTCATTAACTGACAGACTTAGACATGAGAACACAGAATCCTAGATGAAACCAGTCAACTCAATTCAAAATTTGTCTAATCTTGACATTGCAAATAAGAGTAATTCACAGCTTTAACTTAAAGGCTGAAGTCATATAGAATGTAGATAATGTCATCTGGTGATTATACTACCGCCAAGTAAATATTGGTTCTCTGAGCATGTTACTCATCTTGTTATAATTTCTAGACTGTAAAGCATAAAATGTCATTTAATGATGGATTGATGATCCTCCTTGGTACTGTGAAGCTTTACTAAGAATTTGTGTTTTTTATGCAGAATATGAAATTCAGTTTCCAAAAAGAAAACCAGCTGTGAGGTTTTTGTGAAATCTGCTGGTTTGACATGAGCATTACTACATTTTCTTTGTTTCTTTCCTTTTCAGGGTAACCATCTTGAAAACAAAACTGCGAATTCTTCATGAAATACACTGGCACCAACTCTGAAATTCAATGTGGACTTATACTTTTATTGTTTGTTACTCTCTGGAATATCATCTCTAGTTTTAAGTAAGATACAGCTTGCAGCTGCTGATAGTGCCTGTGTGTACTGGAAGGAAGGCCACAGAGTTCAGGTCACATTGAAATGAGTACAGTGGTTCTCATTTGCCAGCTTTTGGCACTTGTAAGCTGAAAAGTACAATTTCTAGTGAGTAGTTGCTTGTTTATAGGACCTGAGCCGGATGAACCGCCTCTGAACTAAATCGGACATGAAGTAGTTATATATTTGGCCTTTCTTGATTGCAATAGCAATATTTGTACACACCCCATCCATGCTGCATTCAAGCCTGCAAATTGGCCACTGAACATTGTGACATGTATCCTTCCAAAAGACAAAAGAAACCCTTGTTCAGTTGTAGGCCAGTATGAAAAGCTGTAAAATTATACAAGGAACAGAATCAGATGTACACTCTAATGCAAATCATGGTAAAGCACCACTGATATATTATTGAAACATTTGTAGTGGGTTATAAAAGTAACTTGGTTCATCCTGGCTCACCACACTAGTAATTGTGTATAAGATTTTTAACCACCGTCCAGTCTGATTGATAAAAGTTGTTTTTAATTTTCATTCTTTACATGTTTTGGTCAAAACGACCATCTTCAGAAGATATTATCAACATGTACAGAAACTGCTATTACATGTCACAGATATATAAATATAATATCTTTTTAACTAATATTAAGATGTACATTGATTTGTTAAAGCATCTAAAAATTATTACAATTAGTCTGTTTATAGAATAATGTTCAATATTTGTTTTAATCCAGAACGAATTTTGTTCGTGTTGTTACACTTCTGTAATAATTTTAGATGTTCTGACAAATCAATGTACACCTTAGCATTAGTTAAAAGATACAACATATATATGTATGGCATGGTAACAGTAGTTTACATATGTGTTGATAATATCCTTCTGAAGATGGTTGTTTTGACCAAAACATGTAGATGATGAAAAATTAAAAACAGATTTTATCAATTACAGTGGACGGAGGTTAAAAATCTTATAAATGGTTATAAAAGTCCTGTTTTTAATCCACGTGCGGATGATCAGGAGTCTTCTGTAGGTATATGAAAAATCGAAAGACACGTAGACTCGGCCAATAATAATATCAGGTCATGAAACTGTGTAAAACTGATCTTAAGGCATTTTCTTGGAGATGGTGATAATGATTTGAACCCAAAATGAATATATAAGTCAATGCTGGACATTATCTGAAGTCTGAATTGTAATCCTGATGTGTTACTAATCTTCACATAAGAAGGTGCACAGACGGACTCCAGGTGTTCCCAAACTTACATTTTTCTTGATATCAGTAATGTATAACTGTAAGTTGATATCCTCAGTGACATTCATTCCAGCCACCTGATTATTTAGTTAAAACATGTACACCCACTCCATTAGGTCCATGAAGAATAACTTGTTCAGTTAGTGTGGTTACTTGCAAGGTTGGAATTATGTGTGGAGTTGATTTCAGTTTGTAACATTCTCACTCAGAGCAGTGTGCTTATGGTTATTGATGGTTATTACCAGGGCCCGGATTTTGATGACCTGAAAATGTTTAAAAAATGACCTAAAGGAGAAAATAAAGAACACTTCGCTTCCATGTTATTCACATTTCAGAAAACATATGAAGAAAAATTCCCTAAAATGGCCAAAAATGACAAGAAATACCATTAAAAGTCCAAAAAATTACCTATAAAATTTACATTTCACTAACCAGCAGCTCACATCCAAGATTTATATATTTAAGAGAATCGCATAGACTACAATGAAAAAAAAGATGACATATCAAAATCCGGGCCCTGGTCATTACTATCTGTCCTTACCATAGGTGATTAATTTTTCAGACAAAAGGTAAGACACACCTATCAAAAGAAACTGAAGATTTTATTTCCTTGTTGGTTAGTATCCTGTTGAGAAATATACAATAAAATAGTTTCACTTGGCGTAGTATTTAAGTGTATATCAGCTTTAGGTAAATGATATAAAAATGTTTTAATTTCATAATATGTAAGATTTGAGGCTTTCACGGCGGTGACTATGAACGTTACCGTGTCTTAGGTGTTGTCGCTTGCAGATTTACCTATACTTTTTCTTCAACCCTGAAGATGGGGGCGATACGTTCCTCCGAAACGTCGGTTAACACCACATATACACGGCGCCAAAGCCCAGAAGACTGCTTTCTTCAATTTCATAATATGTTCGTGTAAAGTTGAGATGGCTGCATACAGTTGGTGCCCAGGCAGGGCCACTGAAGCGTCAGGCCAATAGCTTTAAATGGTTGCAGTGGTAGACTTGCCATTTCTTATTAATTTGTACAGATTTCCTAACAGACTCACCACTGTGATGAGGACTTGTTCAAACAATGCTCTGAGAAATAATTACATTATGTAAAATAATTCATCTGAACTGANAAACTGCTGCTTGTGGATGACCTGACTTATATTGTGACTTCAAACAGCTGTACCTATGTAATCTAAAGGTCTGATATCTGGAGTCATCCTAAAGATGGGGGCACACATTCCACCTAAACGTTAGTATCCACCTATCAGACTGCAGCATGGTGTGTTTCAATAGAACCCTGGTATCCGCTTGCCAGACTACAACACAGTGTTATAGCACACAACGTCCCCACCAAGGAACTTGATGATTATACAGCTTTCCAGTTTTGTCAGGAAAGTTACCTCAAGGACTTGTAGCTGAGATGGGGGAACACAAATACTTTTCATTTCCTTGCATCCTGTTGTGTTATTATATACAATTCTTTATTGGAGTCCGTCATAATGCAACAACATGACGGTCAAGGTTAAAATTACCTAGCTACATGTTACGGCTTTTTAAAGCCATCGTCTGGCAAAGCACATGATTACTAATTGTGTCTGAATATAGTAATTATGTGTTTTGCCCGATGATGGCTTTAAAAAGCCGAAACATATAGCTGGGTAATTTTAACCTTGACCATTATGTTGTTGTGTTACAACAGACTCCAATAAAGAATTGAACACAAATACGTGCAATATTTTTGTTGGAACATGCTGGAAAGCATCCACTTGGCAAAGTAAAAGTGGTGGAAGGAAGATATCAAACCAGATCATGACAAAACTGGGTATAAGACTGTGGATCATGATGTGTCCACTGGTGGGCTTTGGTATTATCAACATTCATCCTGGAAGGGTATGCTGAATAGTAATGCCTTCATAAGAGAGTGGCGAAAATGTAGTTCTGTCCCGCCAGACTTACAGAAATACAGGTACTCCTTGGTATATGCAAGTTGGAAACATGTTCATTTTAATGCAGTCAATTAATTTAGACCTGTAGCACTTGCTTTAGTATGAACTAATTGCTGGCCCATGAAGAGAGGTCAGAAGAAGGGGGATTAGGATGCTGTGCAGGTGTGGAGGAGGAATGCAAGGGGAGAAGAGAAAGTTCGGCCTACCTGATAACATTTATGTCATTGCACCCCCTGTGACTCCTCTTGGGAATACAACTAATGCATTGATTGATGAATACCTGTACACGAAATATGTCAGCTGTGGCTCGACTGCAGAAGTGGTTGTTTGAGAAGTAATTGTATAAAATACGGAACAAAGTTCAAGGAAGGCCATGCCATAGCTCAAGTGGTTAGTCGCTGACTTCCCACCCCGCCAGCCCGGGTTTAATCCTGGGTCTGGTCTAGTGGGATTTGGGGTGGACAAAGTGGCGCTGGGCCAGGTTTTCTCCGAGTACTTCAGTTTCCCCTGCCAATCTTCATTCCACCAATTGCTCCACAATCACCCTCACCTATCATCGGAGGCTGGTACAATAGGCCAGAAGTGGCCACAGCACTAGTGCAGCCCACCACACTAGCAATAAAGAAAAAGTTCAAGGAAGGTAGCCATTTCAGTGAAATTGCTGTTATGGAAAAGAAAGCAGGAGTCATTGCTTTCAGCATGCCCTTCTACAAGCTCTGTCACCAGGAGAAGACAGATACACTTCCCAATGAAATATCCTACATTGTGAAACTGGAATCCATATTTAAATATTTGTTGCTTGTCCTCCAGTGGTGTCCTGTATATAGAGCACACTTGCCATTGTATCACATCACTACCGGGAACACAGAATTCCTATGGCAGCCATAACTTGTCTCTTAACAGTAATATTATATCAAAAGTGACAGTTTTTTATAACAGTTAAAAAAAATGCTGTAAGCTCTCTATTCATGTATGGCTGGTCACATTTTCAATTTCCTGTGGCATGTAACAAATACTGTGTACATCTGAAATAAAATTACCCTGCTTTACCTTTTTAACTGTAGTGTAAACCTGATCTGAAGCTTTCGTGGCAGCTGCGGTGGATGAAATCTGCCCTGGCTTTCAGCCGTGTCTGTTGGTTAAGTATCACCGATGGCCCACGGACCATCTCTCCCAATCATCAGACATGGCTGATAGCCCAAGAATATTTTATCAGATTGTGTCATAAGTTTTTTCTTTTAAAACAGGATTATGATATCAGATTGCTGTCTGTGTATGCCCCCTTCCCAGAACATATTGATCCATGACTGATGTATCATTAAAATATTCCTACAGGTAAGTCAATAATGCTGCTCCTCCTCCTACTACTACTACTACTACTACTACTACTACTGCTGGTGGTGCTACTAACAAGGATGACGGAAGTTTTCTATGGGTAAGGAGTAAAGTCTTCAAGATGCACCACTTTACCACCCACAGTATTCCAGCCCCATCAGTAGATTTTTTCTTTAATATTTTACCACACTACAAGCTATGGAAGAAGCTGAGGAAAATGTCTGCAATCAGGAATTAAATAATAATAATAATAATAATAAAAAAAATGGTACTTTACGTTTTAATGGTTTTCGGTTAGCAGGAAAACCCGATACTTTTAATTTGATGGCCTTCGGTTGTCAGGAAAACCTGGTACCTTGAACGACCTTAAGGAGCACAGTATTGATCGCAAATGAGGAATTAAATTTAAAAATCCCGCTACTTTTTCGTTTTAATGGCCTTCGGTTATTTTGAAAACCTGGTGGTTATTCTGAAAACCCGGAGGTTATTTGGAAAACCCGGAGCAGGGCAGTACTTTTGCAGATTTTGTGCATACAGCAAGAAATGTAAACAAACCCCGGAACTTTTCGTTAACACCGGGTACTTTCCGTTGCACCGCGGCAAAATGTAAACAAAAACCAGGTACTTTCCGATGCACCGCGGCAGGAACACGAACATGCGGCAGTTACACGACCATGAGTGATGGGTAGCCAATCAACATTAAGGGGCGGGGCCACTTAAGTGCTTACTGCACAATCTATGGGTACAGTAAAGGAAACCACGCCTCCAGGGGGGGGAAAAGGAGTTATCATCGGACCCCCCCCGCCGAACGCTATTTTTACTGTGTAGCCAACCAAAATTAAGGGGCGGGGGCACATATGTCCACATGAATTCCGTGCCTGTTGCAGTACTTATGGGTACACCAGGAAATGTAAGCAAAACCCGCAATTTTTTGATGTAATAACCTTCAAGGACATTCAAGAACATAAGACATATTGCAGCTCTGGGCATCTGGCTGCAAATGTTGCCATATT